AGTACAAAAGTTAAATTTTCTCAGAAAAAAAAAACTACCATATTTCAAACCATCACAATGATAACCTAGTTCCTGGTACCTACTCTGTCTTAGTTAGGTTTTTATTACTGTGAATAGACACCATCACCATGGCAACTCTTATAGGGAAAAATTAATTTGAGGGGACTTGTTCACAGTTTCCGAGATTTTTTGCTGTTTTGTCAAAAATCAGGTGTTCGAAGGTGTGTGGATTAATATCTGGGTTTTTGATTTGGTTCCATTGGTTCTTCTGTCTGTTTTATATGCTAATACCAGACTGTTTTCAGTACTGTAGCTCTATAGTAGAACTTGAAGTCAGGGATTGTGATGCTTTCAGAAGTTCTTTTATTGCACAGGACTGTTTTGGCTATCTTGGGTCTTTTGCTTTTCCATATGAAGTTGAGTACCATTCTTTCAAGGTCTGTAAAGAATTTTGCTGTGATTTTGATCAGCATTGCAGTGCATCTGTAGAGTACTTTTGGTAAGATTGCCATTTTTACTATTTTAATTATACCTCCCCAAGACATGGGAAATCTTTCCACTTTCTCGTTTTTTTTTTTTTTCAATTTCTCTCCTCAAAGATTTAAAGTTCTTGTCATACAGGTCTTCCACTTGTTTGCATAGAGTTACTCTGTGATATTTTATGCTATTTGTTGATATTGTGAAGTTTGATGTGTCCCTGATTTCTTTCTCAGCCTGTTTATCATCTGTGTACAGGAGGGCTACAGATATTTTTATGAGTTAATCTTGTATCCAGCTACATTACTGAAGGTGTTTATGAGTTGTAAAAGTTCTTTGGTAGAATTCTTTGGGTCACTTATGTAAACTATCATATCATCAACAAATAGTGGGAATTTGACTTCTTTCTTTCTGATTTGTATCCCCTTGATCTCCTTTTGTTGTCTTATTGCTCTAGCTAGGACCTCAAAAACTATATTGAATAGAATGTGGAGAGAAGGGACAACCTTGTCTTGTTCCTGATTTCTGTGGGATGGCTGTGAGTTTCTCTCTATTTAGTTTGATGTTGACTATTAGCTTGCTGTATATTGTCTTTATGTTTAGGTATGCTCCTTGTATCCCTGCTCTCCAAGACATTTATCATGAAGCAATGTTATTGTATTTTGTTGAAAGTTTTTTGGCATCTAATGAGATGATTATGTGGGTTTGGTTTTTTTTTTCCAGTTTGTTTATATGGTGGATTACATTGACAGATTTTCATGTCGTGAACTATCTCTGTATCTCTGGGATGGAGATGACTTGGTCACAGTGGATGATAGTTCTGATATGTTCCTGGATCCAATTTGCTAGTATTTTATTTAGTATTTTTACATCAATGTTCATGAGTGAGATTGGTCTGTAATTCTCTTTCTTAGTAATGTCTTTCATTACTAAGTATGGTATCAGGAAAATTGTAGCCTCATAAAGAGTTTGGCAATGTTCTTTCTGTTTCTATTGTGTATGACAATTTGAGTAGTATTGGTATTAGTTTTTCATTGAAAATATTATAGAATTCTGCACTGAAACCATCTGGACCTGGGCTTTTTTTTAGTTGGGATATTTTGATGACTGTTTCTAGTCTTTCAGAAGTTATAGGTTTGTTTAATTTGCTTATCTGGTCTTAATTTAATTTTGGTAAGTGATATTTATCCAGAAAGTTGTCCATTTCCTTTAAGTTTTCCAATTGTGTATAGTATAGTTTTTCTAAATATTACCTAATGATTTTCTGGATTTCCTCCATGTCTGTTGTTATGTCCCCCTTTTCATTTCTGATTTTGGTAATTTGGATATTCTCTCTCTGCCTTTTGGTTAGTTTGGTAAAGGTTTGTCTATTTTGTTGGTTTTCTCAAAGAACCAACTCTTTGTCCTATTGATTCTTTGTATTGTCTTCTTTGTTCCTATTTTGTTGATTTCAGCTCTCAATTGATTATTTCCTACCATCTAGTTTTCTTGGGTGAATTTTCTTCTTTTTGTTCTAAAGTTTTCAAATATTCTGTTAATTCAATAGTGTGAAATTTTCTAGCTTCTTTATGTAGGCATTTAATGCTATGAACTTTCCTCTTAACACTGCTTTCATTGTGCCGCATAAATTTGGGCATGTTGTGTGGTCATATTCTTAGAATTTTAGGAAGTCCTCAATTTCTCCCTTTATTTCTTCCTTAATACATTGATGATTCAGGTGAGCATTGTTTAATTTCTATGGGTTTTTGAGCTTTCTGGAATTACTATTGCTGTGGTATTCTGGTTTTAAGCCATGGCATCCAAAAAGATACAATGGGGTATTCCAATATTTTTTTTTATTTTATCTGTTGAAGTTTGTTTTGTTACTGAATATATGGTCAGCTTTTGAAAAGGTTCCAGGTGGTGTTGAGAAGAAGGTATATTCTTTTATGTTTGATAGAATAGACTATAGATGTCTGTTAAGTCCATTTGAGTCATAACATATGTTAGTTCTCTTATTTCTCTGTTAATTTTTTGTTTGACTTACCTGTCCAGTTACGAGAGTGAAGTGTTGAAGTCTCCCACTATTAGTGTGTGGGTTTAATGTAAGCTTTAGAAGCATTTCTTTCACATATGAGGGTGCCTTTTTATTCGGGGCATAGATGTTTAGTATTGAGATTTCCTCATGTTTGACTTTTTCTGTCACTAATATTAAATGTCCTTTTTTGTCTCTTTTGATTGATTTGTTTGAAGTCTATTTTGTTAGATATTACATTAGTTATACCAGCTTGTTTCTTAGGTCCATTTGATTGGAAATTTTTTTTCCAACCCTTTACTCTGAGGTGATGTCTCTCTTTGAGGTTGAAGTGTGTTTCTTGTGTGCAGAAGAAGGATGGATTCTGTTTCTGTATAGAGTCTATTAGTCTGTGTCTCTTTATAGGCTTGTTGAGTCCATTTATATTAAGGATTATTAATTAAAAGTGATTGATATCTCTTGTTAATTTAGTTTTCATTTTTGGTATGATGATTTGTGTGGTTTTCCCTTTTTTGGGATTTGCTGCTGTGAGATTATAAACTGTCTGTGTTTTTGTTGATGTAGCCAAATTCCTTAGGTTGGAATTTTTCCTTCTAGTATTCTGTGTAGGGCTAGTTTTGTGGCTAGATATTGATTAATTCTGGTTTTGTAATGGAATATCTTGTTTTGTCCTTCTATGTTAATTGTTGGAGGCCGTGTGGGTCCAACACAGATAATTATCTTCCCTAACTGGACTGGAACAGAGTCGTGAGGAATAATCAGACACAACTTACACAGCCATCATGAAGGGCAAGGTCTCTAGTTTATTCTCCAAACAGTTTATATATCATACCATAAATTGAGCGGGAAAACACATTAGGCTGTATCCTAGGTAACCCTGGTGAATGGCCTAATTGTTATATGTATTTAGAGAATTGCTTTTTCTCATTACACAATTACCTTCATTTTCCTTTATTAGCATTTTGTATAAAGTTCTATTTTGTCCAATGTGAGTCACAATCATTTTGTGTTATGCCTCTTATGTCTGTGGACTGTATTTTTCATTCCTCTCCTATAGTCTTAATGTGGTTTCTCCACAATTTTTACATGTGTCTTCCACATCACCTTCATGATGATAAAGATAATGAGTTTTACTGGTGATTGGATTAGTAATTTCTTCACTATTGGAATTAACTTCCATTATAAAGAAACCATAAAGTGTTTCCATGACAATGTGCTGCCCAGCAGAAGCACCCAGGAATGAGAAGGCAATGTTAGACATCAAATCTTAGGCCATCATCTAAGTTATGCTGTCCTTTACATTCTAAAATTTAGAACTCTATGACTTGAGTACTTTTTAAGCTAACACATGTGGCTTATGGTAATTTGTCAGGGTGGTGCTGACACACAACTATCTTCACTAGTGTTAAAGTAAAACACAAATACCTTTGAGTATTATTTTTACTAATAAGCATTTCCTTGATGATTAAATAACTGGTCTGGCACCTATCCAATGATATATAATAAAAAGGTATAAGATAATCTTCTCAATTTTATCTTGTTATTTATACCTACATTTAAACCTTAAAGAACCCAACATTTGAAAAGTTAAAATATCTTTAGACATCCTTTTCTTAAAATAACTTATTTTTATGATTCAAAACTTATTATGTTCATGATAGAGGTGCTGAAATATAAAGATAAACATTAATACTACCCAGTTTACACTGGAATTATATCCAGCTGGCCAAGGCAAACTGAAACTACTGTCAGTTTAAATCTATTTTAAATATCCAATGTTCTATTAGTCATGATAAACTAATACAGGTGTTTTGAAATGTTGCCTTGTTACCCTGGAAAAATAGGAGGTATGGTGAGTTACTGCTATCCATTTTCACAGTGTCATATTACATACATATAGAGAGTTCCGAAATAGCAATAAAAATTTAGCAATGTTTGGTGAATAATTGCCACCTTTTCACTATTATAAACTCAAAATGTCCTTCCAATATAAACTAGAAACTGCCTCGAAAGATATTAAATAGAAACACATAACAGTATTTCTTCTAAAGATAAATACAGTTTTCTCTAATTATAAATTTGTATGTATTTAATGTTTATTTCTTTATTAATTTGGGCAAAAAGTATATATGTGCTTATTTCCTGTGTATCAAGTATACACAGTGCTTATAGATTTATATCACTGACAGAATCTGATACCCATTTAAATTTCAACTCCTTTGTATAATTGCTTGAAAATTTCAATGTGTGAAATTAATGTGTTCAAAAGTTTATATGTAAAATATTTCTTAGATTTGTTTATTAAACCAAAAGTAGTGTGTAGCAATTACTTATATTCAAAAGTAATGCTAAGTATGACAGTTTGATTATTACATATTTGTGAGGTAATACTAATTTGAAGATGAAACAATATGCTTTTATTTCACTATGAATCAGAACTTTTGATCAAAATGTATTGAGGAAGAGAGGAGAAATTTTGAAAATTTATGGGTAGATACAGACACTGAAGTGATTGCATCTATTTTATTGCCATTGGTTATTGTTCTAGGGCACAGCACGTTCTGTTCTAGGAGTTTTGAACTCACTGTTTTGCATTTGTGGCAACGGTCTGTCAGTCTCCAAATTAATCATTATATATCAACCCAAGTTTACACTTATGAGAAGAAATGAGTTAAACAGCACTTCAAACATAAACTGAAACTGTATTAGTAATATGCCTATATATTTCTAAACAAATGTTCATTCATCCACTTAACCAAGAACATTTTTTGTACAACGGGGATAATCGATGTGACCATCAATGCACATTGTACGTAATGGAGGTGATTCATTTGCTATTTCATATCCAGGTTTACACAGAAATTCTACATAGTCTGATGATGGAACATATAGCTTTTGGTTTTTTCTCCATTTCAAAATCATGTTATGTCTTTCCATAATTTCCTCTGATACTACACATGGATCTGAAAAAAAAATTATCAAAAGTTAATTAATACATAAACCTACAGAGACTCAGCTTTCAAGCACAATTCCTCAACATTTTTAAAAACACGTATTAAACATACACATAAAATTAGTTCACATTGGATAGCAAATGGTATCAAAGCAATATTTTTAATGCGATAATTAGATATCTAAAGGAAGGATTTCAAATGTCAATTAAGTACTCATATTTCAGCACATCCATGGTTGCTTGCATTGACTTAGATATTGAGAAAGGTAAAAATTTGAAACTTGACAAGTGTATGATATTCAGACCTGATTGATGTAGGAGGATCATCTGTCTATGTGTTACCTTCATTGGTTAAGAAAGAAATTGCTTTGGCCTTTGATAGGACAGTAGCTTAGATAGGTGGAGTAGACAGAACAGGATGCTGGGAGAAAGAAGCAGAGTCAGGCAGACACCATGAAGCCAGCTGCCAGGTCAGACATGCTGAATCTTTCCTGGTAAGCCATCACCTTGTGGTGCTCCACAGATTACTAAATATGGGTTAAAGCAAGATGTAAGAATTAGACAATAAGAGGCTGAAACTATTGGGCCAGGCAGTGTTTAAAATAATACAGTTTCCATGTTATTATTTTGGGTAAAGCTAGCTGGGAGCCAGGCCGCAGCCTGCCGTTCCTATCACTACACCTGATCATCAGATGAGTATATATATATATACTGCTCCTAGAATGCCAAATCATAACCACCTCACAATGTTCATCATTCACTCAAAAAGTTGTAACTCTGAATAGTGATTATTGTATTATGAATTTGATTGTCATGGTTTTAAAAATAAATCTACCAAATTTCCACAGTGCATAATTGACAAACCTGCTTGGATATTAGATTCTGCAACCACCACTCCTGCCCCCGGACTTCCTTACATTGTTAGAAAGGCAAGAGGACTTGATGTTCAAGTTCATGATTTCTCCAACCAATCATTTAGCACTGCCACCTGCCCCACAGCACATTTGATCATACACTACTGTGAAGGCTGGGACTAAGTGTTACAGAATGGGTACCAAATTCACCTAACCATCTCCCATTGTGGCATCTGGTCCCACGCCACTGTCTAGTCAGAGGAGAATCCTCCTGACAACTCTCTGCTGAGGTTTCCAATAGCAATAACCCTTGCTACTGGAAATCTGCCAATCACAGTTTCTGAGAAAACCTGCATCATCTTTTATGAGCCACCATATCCACTCTAGGAATTTTGACATAACAATCACCTTGTAACCTGTGCTGTCTCTGCCACCTACCTGAGCTGATAAATGCCCAAGTTTCAGTATAATTCACAGAAACAGTAGTGCCCAAAGATGTTAATTACAAATAATCATAGGTGTTACATGGGAGCAACTCCTATACTGTAGCTCAAGATACATCTCCTGTATAATACTTCCTACTAAGAAAGTCTCCATAGATAAAGTATATAAAAAATTATCAGGCAGAAGTACAAAACACAGGAAATAAGAAAATATGGAAAGCAATCAGATTCTTCAGTGGTACATTTATCCTCCAGTAGAAGACTCCAAATGTACTGACATGATTAAAAGATATGTGAGATAGTTTTTAAATATCATTTTTTTGTTGTTGAAGGTTCTTTGTATTATTTTGCTTTATTTTTTAAATTTATTTATTAAAGATTTCTGTCTCTTCCCCACCACCGCTTCCTATTTCCCTCCCCCTCTCTCAATCAATTCCCCCTCCCTCGTCAGTCCAAAGAGCAATCAGGGTTCCCTTCCCTGTGGGAAGTCCAAGGAACATTTTTAAAACACAATTATTTCCAAGAGAATACAGAAAAACAATTGTCAAAGTGAAGAAAGCCAATGGGAATATGAGTGAAAAAATGATACAGAGAAGATATTGTTTGAAACATTAAGATATAAGAATTGGAAATTAACAACTGTGCAATTTAAATGAAACAGATCTGAAATGTTATTAGAAGCAAAATCCTGATCTTTCCTAATGACAATTATAACTCATTAGAAGTTAATATGTATAAACGTAGAGTTAACCAATCAACCAACCAATAAAAGCCTTCAAATTTAAAGATCAAATGAATGCACATGTAACATAGGTAGCCAACAAAATGTGCTCTAAAGAGCTGCATTGAAAATGAAACAAAACTGCCAGCAGAGAAATTAAATGCATATAAATGCTAATAGAACTGAAGATACAAAATTCTCTTAAATATTTGTTTCAGAGCTGGGCAGTGATAGCTCATGCCTTTAATCCTAACTTTCAGGAGGCAGAGATGAGCAGATCTACAGAGCAAATTCCAAGAAAGCCAGGACTACACAGAGAAACCCCTTCTCTAAAAAACAGGTATTTCAGAATTAACGCTTTTAAAATAGACAAACTGTAAAAATTAATTTGCAGTTTTACTGAAAAATCCAATGTTACATTCTATAGTTTAGAAAAAAATATCAGAAATCTTATATAACCACAAAAGAGCCAAAAGTAATGCTAAGTAGTAAAACCTCTGCAGGAATGGTCCTAATATCAGAACTCAATCAGAGCTTTAGAGGTATAGACAGAATAGTACAGGCATAAATATAAACAGATTGATTAAAGGACAGGAATAGAAAACTATCTTTGACTAGCAATTTTGGAGAATTGAGGCCAAAACATGTATAAGAAAGAGAGCCTATTGACAAATGTTGCTGGAAAAACTGGTTTTCTAACCACAGAAGAATGAGATTAGACTCCTACTTTCATCTTGTACAAAAATCCATTTAGATCAGATCAGAGAACTTAAAAAATAATTGAAACACTGAAATTTTAAAAGAAAACATAGGGTATCCACTTTAAGGTATGGGGATAAACAAAAACTTTTGGCTAGAACACCAGCAGAACAGAAACTAACACCAAGTATCAGAAGTTGAAACTGCTTGTGTTTCATCATAAAATAGTTTCTGTAGAACAAAGGAAACATCCAGTAGAACAAACTCAGCCAATATACTGGGAGAAAATCATTACCATCTACACTTTAGACAAGTGGCTAAAACATAGAATTTATAAAGATTCAGAAACTTTAGAACTAAGTAAACAAGACCATCACTCAAAAAATGGCCAGATGAACTGAACAGAGAATTTGTTTTCAACTTTCTTAAAGTTTATTTAAGTTTTTAAAAATATTTCTGTGGGAAGTTTTAAATTGTCCACCAGAATCAACTTATTGTCTCCCAGGAAAGTAATATGTAAGGATAATTCAGTTCTTATATATTAATAATGCATTACCAATAGAACAAATAATAAATTAAGTGATAATTTCAATAGAAACAGAGAAACCATGTGATAAAACTATACATATTTTCAAGATAAAAAATGACCGAACAGTTTAAGCATATAAAAGAAAGTAATGCAGAATCATTAAATGGCATAAAAGGTTTTTACACCTGACATACTTACTGCCATTGACTTGCTAGATGTAAAATGCCCTAAAAATTGACTAAATGCATCATCATAGAGGCTTCTTTCAGTACCAGATAAAAACAGATGTAGATACCCACAGCTGTTCTTTGTGTAGAGAGAGAGAGATAGTTTAAATTAAAGGTCTCCATCAAATCCCTTACCTTGATTCTCAGCGAATTCCACAGAAAAGGAGGTGGAAAGACTGTAAGAGTCAGATTCGATAGAAGACACCAGGAAAACGAGATCCCAAGAATCAATTAAGCAAGCCCATATGAACTCACAAAGACTAAAGCCACAAGCACAAGGCTGACATGGAGCTGAACTAGGACCTCTCCATATATATTATAGCTATTAGTTTAATATTTTTGAGGGTCCTATGAGAATAAGTGGGTCTCTGATTCTGTTGCCTGCTCTTGGGAATTCTTTCCTCCTGTTGGGATGCCATACCCATCATCTGTTTGAAAGTTTTTGCTTCATCTTATAATATTTTATTTTGTCATGTTTGGTTTTCATCTCCTAGAATCTTGCTCGTTTCTAATGAGAGACAGAAAGGGAATGGATCTTGAGAGCGGGGGATATGGGGAGGAACTTGGAGGAGTAGAGGGAGAGGAAAGCATTATAAGGATATATTGTATGAAAACTATTTTAAATAAAGGAAAAATGACTGTGGTCAGCAATAAGAAAAAGCCATCCATTCTCTCTAATCACTTTCGCTGCAGTTTCTGAAGTTGAATTATAATAATTAAGAAGATAAAGCATACAATTATTGAGTTAAAAGTCAAATTATTCTTACTTGAGCATTATATATTTCTATACACGTTAAATTCTAAAGACTCACCCAAAATATAAAAACTGAAAACAAAACTGATTAGGTAGTGATGCGCGTTATCATTATACAAAAGTCAGTTTTCTATAGACCAATTCCATTTTTCTGAGAATTATCAATAAAAACAATCTCATTATCACTAACTTCAAAAACTCAATCCAGTAATGAATTTAACCACTCAGGTACAAGACTGTAGACACAACGATTAATTAACTGCTGAAGGAACCTGAAACTGACAAAAATGGAGAAATCTTTATGTTAAAGTTTGGAAGAAATAATGTCAGCATTAATATTAATATATACATGATTCCTATATCAGTTAGCATACTCATAGAAACCCCATTGAAATGCCAACAACATTTTTTTATATAGATAAATGTGGGAATCTAAAATTTGGATGGGATTACAGTAGAATGTGTAGACAACTAGAACTTGAGCAAAAAGGAAAAAACTGGAAATAATACACTACTTCAGCATACTCTAAGAATACCTCTGTAACCAGAATACCATGACACTGGGATTAACTATCAAATAAATGAGAAAAGAGATTTGAAAAGTTGAACTATGTCTTCAAAGTTAGTTGATTTTAATAGAGTTTCCAACACATGCTGGAGAACAGATAACATATTCAATAAGTGATACAAGGATAATTGATATCCACATGGAGATAAATAAAATTTGATTCTTATTTCTGATTGTAAGAAAAAATCAATTCAAAGTCAATCAAATACATAAATATAAGAAGAAGACGCTGAAACTACAAGGGAAAACAATGGGGAAACACTTTTTTGGTTTTGGACACTGAATGTTTGGATGGGATCTCAAATCACAAGGCAAAAGACAAATCTTGATGAATGGAGTTTATCATGAAGAAATACTTGGGTATAGCAGAGAACATAGTCAATACAATAAAGGGGGACAACCTATAGAATTGTAAAAAATTGTCAGGCATTCATATATATTATATAAGAATTTCCTATGTCAAGAATATATATGAAGTTGAAAATACACCAGGGGGCAGTGGTATTGTATGCCTTTAAACCAAGCACTCAGGAGGAGAGACAGGCAAATCACTGTGAGGTTGAGGCCAGCCTGGTTTACAGAGCAAGTTCCAGGATCGGCTTCAAAGCTATGTAGAGACCCCTGCCTTGAAAAACCAAAAACCAACCAACCAAAGAAACAAAAACAAAACAAAACAAAAACAAATAAGAAAGAAAGATAAAATACTTTTGCAAACAAAGATATGGCAATGAAGAGACACTTCTGAAAGGAATAAATATATATGTGGTTGAGGGGAAAAATAATATCATTTGCCATCATTTGACTGCCTAATAAAGTTTCAATGAGATTATTCTACCTTATCATCTAGGTAGAATAGCATATGATGCTCAGTTAATAACTCAGAGAGAGAAATTGGGGTTCAACCTGAAAGTCAGAAAAGCAAAACACACAGCCACTGACTCTTACCTGTACACCGGTCTGAAATGGTGATCCTGCCTCCAAGAATCTCAGAATGAAACTGTGTCTGAGAGCTGTCTTTTCCCATTTTATCCTCTGTAGTTCTGGGATTAAGGGAGTGCACCACTACCTCCTGTTTTCAATGGGAAGCTAGTGTGGCTACTGGGATTAAAGGTGTGTCAGTGCTGTCTGATCTGAAAGGCTGGTCAGGGCAGCTGTTTTACTTTTCTGATATCCAGGGAAGCTTTATTTATTAAAATACAAATGAAATGTCACTACAGGCATTGCAGAAAGGAACCCTTAAAAATTACAAATGCTAATGAGTCTGTAGTGGAAAATAAAATTAACAGCTCTTAATGGGAATGTGGATTTGTGCAGTTACTATGGAGAATAATATGGAGATTTCATAAAAATCTAAAAATTGATTTTCCATATATGATACCTGTGTTCCTCTGCTGATATGTATCCAGAAGAAATGAAAGCAACCTACTCAACCTGCACATATATGTTTATTGCGCAATTCTATGTCACAGTAACTGATATAGAAAAATTGTCTGAGTGCCCACAAATTGGTGAATTTATTAAGACAATGTGGCATATTTATATGTGAAATATGCTTCAGACATTATAGATAATTTTTATTATTTTCATTAGGAAAAAGCATTGAAGGATATTAAGTAATGTGAGCCAAACATAAAAACAGAAGTTCTTCATGTTCTTTCTCAGACAATGGAAAGAAAAACTAAAATTCCTCTTGACTGCCTGACAGTGAATAGTATAAGTTAGATAGTTTATGTAAGGAAAGGGGGGCTTATATGAGGGATATAATCTAACTACTGCAAAGTTTATACAGGTGTGGTGATATGAATGACTTCTGTACTGATTGGTTTTGTATGTCAACTTGACTTGATACAAGCTGGAATCATTGAAGAAGAATGAGGCTCAATTGAGGATATGCCTCCATGAAGTCCATCTCTAAGGCTTTTTATCAAGTAGTAATCAATGTGGGAAGAACCAGGCAATGGTATATGGCACCATCCTCAGGCTGACAGTTGTGAATTCTATAAGAAACCAGGTTGAGTATGCCAGTAAGCAGCACCCCTTCACAACCTCTGCATCAGCTTTTGCCTCCAGAATGCTGTCCTGCTTGAGTTCCTATGCTGACTTCCTTTGATAATGAGCAGCAATATGGAAGTGAGATACAAATACAACCCCCTTCTCTCCAACTTGTCTTTGGTCATGGTGTTTCATCACAGCAATATAAACCCTAAGTAAGGCAGACTCCATAGGCTTCTATATTTATCATGGAGTGGTGCTGACTGAAAAGGTTTGGAGCTGTAGTTTTGTTGGAGTAGGCTAGCCATGTTAGAAGTGTGTTTCTGGGGATAGACTTTAAGATTTCAAAAGCCCAAGCCAGGCCAGTGTCTAGAGCTTCCTACTGCCTTCAGAGCCAGCTATTTTCCTGCCTCCATGTCTGCCTGTGTGGCACCATGCTCTCTGCCCTCACACATGATGATAATGAACGAAGCTTCTGAAACTGAAAGATCAATAAAATGAGTTTTCTTTGAGTTGCTAGGGTCATGGTGTCTTTTTAAAGCAACAGAACATCAACTGAGACAACAGGTATGGAAATATGCTGGCACCAAGATTTATGGACATCAATACATTTTAGTAGAACTCAATAAAAATAACTTGCATAATTGTATTTGTCAACTGTCTTTATATAAAAAAGAATCTAATAGTCTTATTTTCCTCACATGCTGATATTTGTCAGTGAAGCACTAAGCAAAAGAATACTTTTAATCTGTGAATATTCTTTATTAACAGAAAAATATCTGTATCATGAAACTGAATCTCCTGTGATTTATAAGAACAAGGTACTTACTTAAACATTTTGGTGGCTTAGACCACTCTCCATTTCTGCATGTTATTTTCGTGTCACCCTGAGGTATGTACTCGGACTGGCACCGATATTCAACTGAAGAAGATGGATCATATACTTGTAATCTGAAGGAAATGATGTCTCCATTCTTAATAGGTGGAGGAGGCCCACATTTTTCTTTTGGATCTAAGAACACAACATTTGATTGTCTGAGAGATGAAATCATAGTACAGATTTAAATAGAAGAAATGAAAGTATAGTGCTAAACAAGACTTTAGTGATATCTGGCTACAGGGATAATTGCTTGGAGAAATTTCACTTGTATAAACTTAGAGTTACAAATTCTTCCTTTGTACTCATTTAAAGCACTTACTGAACTTGAGTAAGTTTGTCTATTCTAAAGACTTCCAGTGCTAGTAAATGTTTTAAACAGCTTCTAAACATACAGATGCCAATGTTGACAGGAAGGGTTTCTTTCTTTTAAGACACTGGACTATTTATTGCTCTATATATTCCTAATATTAATTAACAGTTTTAGAAAGATATTTATCGACAGGAATTTAAAGCTTTTAAAGTTACAGAAGGTAAATAAGTTATACTTGGTCCCTGATAGAGGTGAGGTAATTATAGGCATTTGTATGTTATACTTTTGCTAGTTACAACAGGAATTCTTGGATATATGTTTAATAAACAACATAGGAAGAGAGAAGACATTGATAATTCTAGTCAAGAGATTCAGGATTTAATTAACTGCACGATGTTGTGTGATATTTGTTTCCCTTCTGAACTGTTAATTGTCCTGCTGAGGCCACAGGGAAGGACTGAAATCAAGTACTGATATTGTCTGTTGAGGAAGTTCTCAACAGGAGCATCATGAAACTGAACTGAACACCAATACTATTTAGAATAAAAACAAGTGGTAAAGATCCAAACAAAATATTTTAGTGTGGAAGGAAATGAAAAAAAATTGGCCATAAGGCAGCATGCACGTGTTTTAGAGCTGATAAAACTCAAACTATACAAGTACCAAAAAATCCATGCAGATTCATGTATTGAAACTGCTTAAAGAAGTCTTGAAAAACAGCCTTATAAAATTACTGCCACAGTGGATCAAAATCCAAAAGAAATTAACTTCATGTCTACCACCATGGAGTCTATAGGAGGTGAAAAAAATTGAGTATCAGTCTTGAATTCTATGTCCCATGGTGTTAGCCTTGTGAATAAATAAATTTGACATCAATGAAGACATCAGATAAAAGAAAATAAAGAGGATTTATTTCTAATAGAGAGTTCCTCATAAAAAGAAGTAGCAGAATTCATCTCAAAAATAACAAATCTTAAGAAAAAAAGTAATTGGTAAAAAACTAGATAATTTTTCTGCTCATAATATTATGTTTATGTTTGAGATGAAACCTACCTTTTCAGAATGGTGCTCAAGATATATAACAGTAAATCCTAAAAAAAATCTTTAGGTAAAACATGAAAAATGTGAAACACAAAGAGATTTTAAATAAGAACAATTTCTAGTTTTTCTTTGGAATATAAAATATCTGCATCAGTAAAGGAGGACAAAATGTAGCACAAAATCCAATTGGTCTTAATAATAAAAACCTGGAGTCAGATATTAGGTTAATGTTAAAGATCAGAGAAGTATAGGAGACAGCCAATAATTTTTACCTCTACTGAATTTTCAGACAAAAGGGGCAATCCTGTTCCTATGAATCTTCATGCTGAATGCCCTGAGTACCTGTCTCCTCTGGCCCTATAGCCCTCTCTTTGCATGGACAAATTACTCTTGTCCCTACCTCCCTAGGGCTGGGATTAAAGGCATGTGATACCAAGATTTGGGACCAAAGGCATGAGCTCTGTTTCTCTTTTAGACTGAATCAATCTCGTGTATCCCAGGGTGTCTTAAACTCACAGAAATCTGTCTGTTTCCATTTCCCAAGTGCTGGGATTAAAGTTGTGTGCCACCACTGCCTGGCCTCTATGGCTAACTAGTGTGGCTAGCTTTGTACTCTGATCTTCAGGCAAGCTTTATTTATTATTGCATACCAAATATCACCACAGGCAAGCACATAATTACCTAGAGTGACTTTGGTAACAGGTGGTTAGGAAATAATTAGAGATAGCATTCTCAAATTGTGTACTCAAAACCAAGAAAAGATGCATGCCAAAAGAAAATTCTTGAGAACCATTCTTCCAAAACAAAAGTAAGAAAGGAGAAATAAGACTGATAATCAGAGAAAAAAAAACACAAACTGACAAAAGAGCAGATATAGCAACAATACTAGCACTTGTTTCGCATGCAAATGATCTGAATGGTGGACTAGGCAGTCAAAGTTTCTCTATAGATATGATGTAAATTTATGCATTAAGAATACAGAGTTCATATTCAATAGTAAGTGACTAATAGAGGTAATTTGAGAAATTTTTATTTTTATAAAACTAAGTCTCAACAAGTACTCCTAGAGAATGCCCAAACTTTGAATTCAAAATGTAAGAACTAAAGAAATCCCATTGCTTTTTGCCCATCATCATATGTGGCAGGCAGGGGAACCAACCCCATGGGTCTTGAGATTGGGAAGCTGGCCCTGCTCCTCAACAGCTGTATATTTATTTATCCCTGTATCCTGCCTGGGCAGCACAGTAGGGATGGTCCTGATGTTGCAGGTGTGACTGAGTCAGCTGGAGGGAGCAAGGAAAGGAGAATGAGCCCTGCCCCTTGTTCCCTCCTGCATTTGGTGAGCTAACCAGGGCAGGGTGGAGAGCTCTCCCTGGGGGTGAAGATGAAGAAAAGCTGGTGGGCTGACCAAGGCAGCTACCACCCAGGCTCAAAACCTGATCTATGAGTTCACCCACCCTAATATCCATACCATCTATAATCTGCAGAGGCACATGAAGGGGCCAGTTCTATGGATCCAAAGCTACCACATCTCCATGACACAGGGCAACAACAGCATATCTAAGAAGAGTTCCAATGAGGGCCCCGTATCAATAGTTTAGCAGAATTCAAAGGCCTCAAACTAGACTAATGACTCCTTTCAATGAACACTTACAAGTAATAATATGTGGAATAAATAGTACACAGAGTGACTCACTGTGCCATGCTACAGCTTCCATGTTGAGAATTTGAGATTTTTTTTCTTTCTTTTAAATTTTATGTTATTTTATTTTGGGAGGAGATTGCAAGGGCAGGGAATGAAAAAATTATATTTTACTATATGAAGATATTTTATTACACTATTCATTTGCAAATTTCAAATATTTGAATGAAAATATTTAAATTTTTTATCTAACATCAAATAAATGTATTATATTCATTTAATATTTAATAAATAAATGAAAGGATTAAGATTTAAACTCATAATTTTTTCCTGAGTGGCAATGTTCCTAAAATCTGATAGAATTTTTATTGAAAAATTTCTATCATGATTCTTAATTAAATTCACCACAAGAATTAAAATTTTATCAGTATCATTTTCTTTATATTTCTTATCATTTTGGTTGTGAGCTTTTCATTTAATGACTAATCTATCTCTAGGGAACATCTGTAACACACTACTTAAATCACCAGGAACCAGTGACTAGACAGCCCAGGGAAAGAGCATCAGTTCTTTGACCAGTTATCATTAGAGAGGCTTCTTCCAAGAACAGATGGGAGTGGGTGCAGAGGCCCACAGCCACACTTTTATTGGTTTAAATTGCAGGTCTCTATTGGATCTTTCCCTTGGAGTTTGGGGACCCTACAGAAGTAGGAGTAAGAGGGAATGAAGGACACCAGGAGAGTATGGTCCATTGAGAAAACTAAGCAGGGCTCACAAGAGCTCACAGAGACTGAAGCAGCAAACACAGAGCATTCATGGGTACAGCAGGTGCTCTGCATATATTTTATGGCTGTTAGCTTGGTGTTTTCTTAGGACTTTACCAGTGCTGGTGGTTGTATCTCTAACTATTTTGCCTGCTCTTGGGACTCTTTTCCACCTATTGAGTTACCTTGTACAGCCTGTATATGAGTAGTTTTGACTTGTCTATTGTATCTTGTTTTGTCCTATTTGGTTATTGTCTCTTGAGGGCCTGTTCTTTTCTGAAGTGAAAACTTGAGGGAGTGGATCTGGAGTAGAGTAAATATATTAGGAAAGGGAGGTTTGTAGGAAGGATGTAATTGCAGTAGTGATGTATTGTATAAGTGAAGAATCTATTTTCATTATTAAAAGAAAACAGAAAAGTTAGAAAAATGCTTCCCTTGAAAATTACTTCACTTTATCTTCACTAATATACAATAACAAAACTACATTATTACATGAGCATTGGGGACAGGTGGTGGCGGCACCTGCCTTTACTCCCAGCACTCAGGAGGCAAAGGCAGGTGGATCTCTGTGAGTTCAAAACCAACCAAGTTCTAGAACAGACTCTATTGGCACAGGGAATCCCTGTCTCAAAAAAACAAAAAAGAAAGAAAGAAAGGAAGGAAGGAAGGAAGAAAGAAAGAAAGAAAGAAAGGAAGAAAGAGAGAAAAAAAGATAGAAAGCAAGCATTGGGAAATATGATGGCCTACCTTTGCATTTTGGTGGTTCTGTCCAAATCCCATTTTTACACATTACTTCTACTTCCCCAACTAGTTGATAAGGTCTATTACATTCATAACGTACTCTCTCACCAGATGGATATTTAGTCATGGCCCTTGTTACTATAGTAGCATTTCCCACACGTGGTGGATTCTCACAGGAATTGTCTTAAGAGAAAAAGAAAGTATCATTAGCTGTTTTTTCATCTTGATTATTCAATCAACACATAAGATTCCAAATGCATTTCTTAACCAATAAATAGATAAAGAATATGTGGTACATCAATAAAAAAAGAATATGTGGTACATTTACAAACATACAAACACACACACATACACAAAAAAGAATTCAGCAAACACATAGTAAAATGGTGAAACTAGAAAAGAATCATTTGAGTGAGGAAATGCAGACCCAGAGAGACATACATGTATATATTTGCTTATTTGGATACTAGCTGTTAAGTCAATGAAAGATAAACTACAAACCATAGAACAAGGGAGATTATGTGTAGAGCAAAAGACCTGGAGTATCCGGTGAAATAGTGTATAAAGTTATGAATGGAGAAGGGCAGACAAGGAACAGAATACAGAGAACAACAAATAAAACTAGGTATCATTTGAGGGCTATTATAGATATATTATACAGTAGAAACTAAATCCTAAAATACGTACATATATGAAGGCAATCCATATAAAATAAACAAAACTGTGGGGAGACAAAATGCCAGTGGACAACTCCTGTCATCAAATGAAGTTTCCAGTACCAGGATTGGATTACATCCAGTTGAATTAGTACTCAAAGAGGTTACATGAGAATGTTCAAAGCATCTGGGATGTTGTCAAGTCTAAGTCTTTTCACCTAAACTGGAGGCAAGGCTTCACAACTCACTGAACATAACAAAATCAAGCTTGTACCTACATATAGCTCCTTCTGTCCTACAGGTTGGACATACTACCAAAGTGGAAATATATACACCAACCCAGCCACAAACCCTTGATCGATAATGATACTCTGTCTGCAATGTACAATAGGAAAATGGAGATACCTTGTTTGTTGGATTGACCAAGAAATATCTAATATTAATTATGGGGTCTTCCATGAGATAAAACCCATATCTGACACTGCCTGGGTGACCAAAACCTGAGACTAGATAGCCAGGGATCTAATAGTACTGTGGAACCAAATAATAGTCTTATAAAAGCAAACAAAACTGTAGCTCAAATTCAAATTGGTCTGAATAATAAAAACCTGGAAACAAATATTGGAGTTTAGCTGAAGATCAGAAAAGCAAAACATCCAAACACTAGAAGGCTCTTACCTCTACAAAAGCTTCAGAGTGAAAATAGAGCAAGGTCTATCATATTCTACCTTATATTTCTCTCTAGTGCTGATATGAAAAGTGTGCACAACCACTGCCTAGTCCCCATGGTTAACTAGTTTGGCTGCTGGGATTAAAGGTGTGTGTTACCACTGTTTGACTTGTATTTGCACTCCAATCTTCAGGCAAACTTTATTTATTAAAACACAAATAAAATATCACTATATTTCCACTTTTGTCTAAAATAAAAATATCTATAATTATTAGAAGAAAAACTATATATAATAATTACAATAATGATATTCACTATATACAGACAATAGGTACATCAGCAATGTCTAGTCCATTTGTATTTGACCAATTCAGAGAAAATACTTCATTAACTAGTCTCTCTTGATGAGTCCAAAGTCTTGTATGTAATTTACATTTTATCATGACTTACATTACTGTCAAAATCTATCTTTGGATATCTCTCAACCTTATATACTTTATATTTCTTTAGTGAATTTCTTTTCTGAGTCTCATAAACAACAAAAACTGTAACTATAACAACCCAGTCTTCAACTACCTCAGAGACCTAAGAAGGAAATAATATTAACTGAGTAAGCAGAAAGTGCAAGCAAGTGAATTCCAAAAAATGTGAGAAAGGCCAGACACTTCTGGTTGCCTGGACAGTCTCCCAAATTTTCTCTATACTGTTGGAGCATCTATCTTTGGCCTACAGGCCTAACATATCTGACAGACTTATCTATGAAGTAGAATATTCTGAGGGGCTGTCACCCTTGTCTTAAAAAGGCTTGGCAGTCACTGTCTTCTGTGTCCTGCATGTCTTATTAGGCCAGTACACAGTCAACATTGGAGAGAGGGACATTTCATTGCACAGGGGCTTACTTTGTCACAAGAAAGTAAACTTCATGAGGAGTTCCCTCAATGCCCATAATCATCTCTGAAATAGATTGGAGCTGCCAGAGAAGATATGCCTCATTGTTATAAAAAAAATCTATTTTTTTAAAACATTTTAAATGCCATATTTTGTATATCTTTGAAGTGTTTGAAGATCACCTGTCTATTTAAAATTCATTGGTTTGGCCTTGAAAACATACCTAATGTGATTACAGGTTCAAATTGTAATAGATGAGCCGGGCGATGGTGGCGCACGCCTTTAATCCCAGCACTCGGGAGGCAGAGGCAGGCGGATCTCTGTGAGTTCGAGACCAGCCTGGTCTACAGAGCTAGTTCCAGGACAGGCTCCAAAGCCACAGAGAAACCCTGTCTCGAAAAACAAAAAAACAAAAACAAAAAAAAAACAAATTGTAATAGATGGCTAAGTGCTAACCTGCATTTCAATATTATTTTAAGTCAATAATTGATCAATTTCTGCAATACCTTGTGCTTGTGAACCTGGCAGGCCCTTATGGAATCAGAATATATATATATATATATATATATATATATATATATATATATATATATGGGATGATCCCTAATACTGATTGTATCTTGTAACTGAATAAATAATAAAATCAATTCTGTATCATTTGGTATAAATTCAATGTTTTCAATATGCAAAACAATCCTTTCCATGTATTGTAAATTACTAACTATGTTTAGAGGTTCTTCAAAATCCCTTAGTACCATGAAAATAGGATTTAATTCTGTTCTTTGAACAGAATCATATGGACTTTAATCCACTTTACTTAAATTTTATGATATGTAGCTCTATTTCCTGACTTATTTGTGTCAGTATAGAATGTAGAGTTTTCAGTTATTGGGATATCCTGTACAATGTGAGGAAGGATCCAGTTAGTTCTCTTTATAGTTGAATTCTCTTGCTTTTAGAATATTGTTGTTAATCTCAACAAAAATTACAACAATCTCATTGCCAGGGTTCACTTTCTGTACATAGTTTGTCAATTTAATTACTATTACAAGGTACTACAATTTCTGCTTGGTCTATTTCTGTTAATTGACAAAGTCTCAATTTTCCTTTTAGATTTAACTTAGAGATCATTTCCATATAAGTTTTAAACTTTTTATTTGGTTTATGTAGTAAAAGGATCCATTCTAAGATAATATCTTCTTTTTGCATTAAAATTCCTGTAGGGGAATATTTAAAAAATACTATGACCAGAATATGGTTAAGATTTAGATACACACAATACACATATGCCTTCTGTCATTTCTATTCTACCAAAGCCAATTCTCTGTCAGCTTCAGCTAATAATTTCCTGAGAAAATTTAAGACCTTGTCACTATCTAAGGCTTTGTCTAAATTAGTCAGTTCATTAGTATTTATCACAGTAGTCAGCCATAGATTGAAAATGTCTCTTAGCGATATTTGGAAGCCATTAAGAGTCTGCAATTGATCTCTCCTAATTTGTGCTTTTGGGTTCTAACTTTTAGTAATCCTATTTTATAGCCTAAATAATTAATAGGATCTCTACTTTGTATTTTTTTTTCAGGAATAATTTGTAATTCCCAACATGACAAATTTTTCTTTACTTTTTCAAACACTCTTTCTAAAGTACCTTCATTTGAGTTAGAAAATAAAATGTTGCACATGTAATGGTAAACTATAGATTGAAAAAATTGCATATGGATACATTCCAACAGCTGCCATACAAACTATTGGCATTTAACTATTTAACATTTGGGACTATTTAACATTTCCTCTTGGATAATCTTCCATAGATATCTCTTAGCAGGCCTAGAATTATTGTAAGTAGGCACTGTGAAGGCATATTTTTCTCTGTCATGTTTTATTAATGTATAGTGAAGAAACAATCTTTTAAATCAGTAACTATAAGAGGCCATTCATTAGGCAACAAAGAAGGAAAAAAATTACAGACTATAGTGAATCCATCAGCTGAATCACCTTATTAATATCTCTTAGATCTGTTCCCATTCCCAAATTTCTAGATATAATTTTAACAACAAATATAGAAGATTATGAATGACTGGTTGATTTTTCAATGTGTTGAATATTTAGTTGTCTTTTTACCAGCTGCTCTAAAGAATACAGTATCACTGTTGTGAAAAGGCCATTGCTCAACCCATACAGGTTTGTCTACCATTTTAAAGGTAGGGCTCTTGGTGTCTTTGAAACAACAGGTCTGTTATGCCCTGTTTTTGTACAACATGAGTGGTCAATGACTATTCTTTGTAATATCTTATAATAGTTTCCCAGAAACATATGGTAATTTTTGTTTTTTTTTTTTTGATTGGGGGATGTTAATCTGAATATTCCATTGCTTTACAAAATCATGATCCAGAAATTCATTGCTATGTTAGTCACATATAGCTTTAATTTTCTTCTCTCTCATTGCAGTTCTATACATTCAACCCATCCTGTGCTCTGCTTTTCCTGAGAAAAAGTTCCAATCCCTAAAAGTGAACATTTATCTCCTGAAGAGATTAATTTGGATGCCACTTTACATTTTGCTAGACATTTCTATCAGTCTTCTAAAGCTATAATAAAAACATATTGAAAGTGCATCAAACTACCTTTGCATACCAACTTTCCAATCCACGTGCGATTAACACATGTCACAATGTTGGATCCATTCATATGATAAAAACGTGCACATTTGAATGTCACTCGTTCACCTGGTTTATATGATATTTTTTTCGGACCTATGAGTATGGCATTTTCAAACATGGGTGGACTGTCACAATAAGTTCCTGAAAGAAAAAGAATATTTCTGGTTTTGCCTTTAGGAAATTGTTGGATGTATAATATATGAAGGGATGGTTAGGTTGAATTAGATAATCTATTATGCAAAGAATGAAAACAAAACTATACTTTTGCAATCTGGTGGATGGGGCCACTTTCCTCCTATACATTTAATAAATGCTGGTCCGTCAATTCCAAAGCCTTCAGAACAAATGTATGTCACCTCTTCTCCATGTTGGTAACTGTCTAGTTCATTAGACACAATACCATGACGGATTGAAGGTGGAGGTCCACAAGGAAGTCCTAAAAATAACACAGTGAGAGGAAAAGAGTGAGATGATTCTACATTGCACTAATTCAGAAACTCGCTTTTGTATGTCAGTTCTATGTGTACAGAGGGAAATGTTAAGAAGGAAGATGTGCCATCAGAGAAGAGGTGAACAGTGCATCCCCAGTCCACCTTCAACTTCAACCACACTAAAACTCACATGAGCAGGTGAAGTCAGTAGACTATGCATCATATTTAAAAAGAGAAATGAAAGAATAAAAGTAGATTTCAAAACAATACAATTAACACAAGCAGGATTGTTTGAATTATACAAATAGAAATTTATGGTAAAATATATGAACAATTATGTGTGCCAAACTAAATAATTCTTTCTTCTGGTTTTGATGAGAGTAGATTATTAGTAAAGACTTGTTCTAAATTCAGAATTGAATTTTCATGCTGTTCTCACCGACACAACGAGGTGGAGCACTCCACTTTCCCAGGTGGCAGGTTACCCCGTGCTCTTCAGCCATCCTAAATCCATCATCACAAACATAGCTAAGTGTAGTGCCGTGTTCATAACTGCTGGACTCAGCTGTGTCTCTCCTTTCTTCTGGTGATCTGAGTAATTTAATTTTTCCATGGTCTATTTCAGGGGGCTGAGAACATGGACTTTTCACTATTTGAAGAACAGAAATGTAATAGTGAAGTATAGACAAAAATTTTACACTGGAAAATAAAAACAAACTGTGTGGATTATGTCTCCACAGTTTTTATGTTAAACCTTAGTATTTTAATATCCTCCCCCTTCACTTTAGTTCTCTTCAGTATTTTAAGAAAGAATGTTATAAAATAAGCCACAGCTACTGACCAATGCAGAGTGGTAATGACTGCCATGTTCCATTTCTGCACACCATCTCTTCTGTGTCCTGTGTTAAGTAATTGTCTTGACAAAGAACAGATACTTTTTCTCCATCCCAGTATTTCACTGTGGTTTCCATCACTTGGGCATTTGGAATCTGTGGTGGAGGAGGGCAGGATTTTTTCTCTACTCCTAAAAAATATTTAAAATCAGAGTTCTTAACAAAGATAGTATCTTAAATTATTGAAGCAAGAATTTTATTAAATAGCAAATTAATTATGACCACATAATAATTATGTATATTTTATGTTTTTCATCTGGTCTAGCAATTAGTAACTATTCTTGTCTTCCGCTGAATGGTTATCATTGTCATTCACTCCTTTATAAAGCAGTTTTGCAGAATTTTGTTAAACTTATGTCAATTTATGTTATTTTAAATGAATTATAAGATGAAATATTATAAATTGAGGTTACATGGAAATTCTAAAATCTATGAATTAATATTTTGGATTAGATTAAAAGTCCCGAGAGAGGGTACTGAAGAAAGTGATACTTATATTTAGTTTGTGACTTTTTACTAGTGATTTACTAGTGGATTTTCTAATGGCTGTGACAAAATGTCTGTCAAAAACAATTTTAGAAAGGAAGGAAGGAAGGGCTTGGCTTAGCTCATCATGTAGTGCAGTTATGGCAGCCCAGGTGTGGAGCAGCTAGTCATACGGCATCTATTGTCAGGACGGGCACAGAATTAGTGCAGATGTTTGGCTTCTTTTTCCTTCTATTTATCCAAGACCCCTGATCATAAAATGATGCCACCTACCTTTATCATGAATCTCCCAACCTGAGTTTACCCAAACTAGAAATGTTCTCTCTCTCAGTCATGCTCAGAGCTGTTTTTCTTAAGTCACTTTTGTCAAGTAAACAATAAGTATTATTAATCATTACACTTTGATAAACAATTTGGCATTGACTTTTAGTCAATGAGGGTATTGAGTATTTTCACAAATGTTTCAGAGCATGTTATTCAAAATTTCAACTTTCTGGACATCCTATTTATTGTGAACTGATTAGAGATGTGAAAACTGTTGGTAAGCATCTAGGATAATGAGCAGTTAGTACTGACATTAACACCCACTTAAAAAGTTTTGTCTAAATCACTCCAAAATCAAGATATTTCAGATTCATCTTGCAGATTCATAATGTGACAATGTGCTTTATTAGTGATTATTAATAATCTTCTTTTGATCTCTGCTTAAGTAGAGTGGATGAAAGGATTAAAAATAAATGAACATTTGTATAGTAAATATATTTTTCCACATTCTTTAAGCAAATAGCTGGCTGTGCAGGAAAGAAAAACAATTACTACCTTACTTCATACTATAATCTAAATGAAATCAAACATGATAAATAACAGAGGCAACTACAGAATGGCATGTATATTAAATGTGTGCAATAGTTTTGATTTTCAACTGGCATGGACATACTTTCAGTAAATTTTAGACTTTAAGAAATAGTTTAAGATATTGAGTGAGACAGGCATCCAAAATAACAGTGATAAATACAAATAGGGAAGCAAAAATAGTGCAATCAACTCTTGCCTATTTATTTGAAATTGGAGGTATCATATGTCAGATTTATTGTTACTAGAAAAAAATTAATTATTATATTGATAGTACACATAACCATACAGAAGTGCATGATGATTCAACATAGGCATAGGAAGGGCACATCACATTTACTGTGATAAAATAATTAGATGTAATGGAACTCTGAGAGTAAGGGACCATTAATATAAGGAGGTAAATTCATGATTAAGTTCACTTGTCTGTTTTAAACTACAGGTCACTAAAAAGGTGATAGCAATTTCTAAACCATTTTATATATTGAAAAGTATTTTTCCAGGATGTTGTTATAATACAGTGTCTTCCTTCATATATGACATGGTAGCTGGACCTATAAAATTTCAAAAGCATGGACACTTAAACATGATGTGCATTATGCCAATACCACTTGGCATGTCAACATGGATATGCAAGAAATCTTACAAAGCCCTACCCTTACATCAGAGGTTCTCAACCTTTGGGGCACAATCCCTTAGGGGTCTAATGACCCTTTTCATGGTTGCTTAAGATATTCAGAAAACACAGATATTTACATTATGATTCATAACTGCATCAATATTAGAGTTATGGAGTAGCCATGAAAAATAGTTTATGGTTAGGGTTTAACACAAGATGAGCAACTATATTAAAGCGTCATAGCATTAGGAGGATTGAGAAGTATTGCCTAAGGTGAAGACCTACAGGCAATTAATGTCTGTCTAGAAGAGGAGAATCAATTCTCTCCAGGGATGTGTGACCCCCCAAAAATACTTTATCCAATCTCAAATTCTTAGTCCTAGTTACATATCCATATGAAAAACAATAAATGAACTCATCAGGCTGAATTTATATATACAAGTTGTTTGTGTAGGGTATATATTTCCATATATATTGCATATACATATGTGTTTATATGTGGAGAAGAGGTCATGAATTGGGAAGGAAGTACAGGGGACACAGTATATTTTTGAGTGGAAGAGGGAGAGGCGGAAATGATAAAGATTCAGGATTCTGAAGTATAATTCTGAAGAATAATTACTGTGTTTTAAGAACATAAAGCTACTATTATTACAGGTAATGAAAGATTAGAATAACTACTAGAAGACAGTGCAAACAAGAACTTACTTGTACAGGTTGGTTCAGGCTCCCATCTTCCATTGATGCAGATAGACTGTTTATAGTCCTGATTTCCTTTACATCTGTATCTCACGCTAACATTATGATTAAATTCATTCTTATTGGAGGGAAACACTTCCATATTAATTGAGTATGGTTCTTTACAGTTCTCAAGTTTATCTTTTGCTATGTGAAAATAATTGCAGGAAAAATTAAAATCAATTACAAGAAGTGAAATATCTGGCATATTAAAATAGCTACAGAGCATTCAATATACACATGGAACTATTATTTATACTCATAAGTTCTGCCAAATAAATTGCTAAGGTTATCAACAGATTGGCCTATGGTGTTAGAACTAGACCTCATGTCAAGTCCTGCACATCTCAGAGACAGTGTTTCGTGAAAGGATATAGATATTAGGCAATTGCAACAGCAAAGGAAATCATTGTCTACATAGGAAGTGATTATGATGTGACCAGCTTTGGTCCCCTACTTGAAAGCTTTGAAATGTTTATATTTTCTGATTTCCCCTTCTCCTAATTTTAGTCCATAATGTTAAATATATTAAAATAAAAACATGAGTGGATAGATTGTAAGAGGTTTGCTAGTTTGAATTTCCTTTTTGATAGATCTATTCTCTAAAACGAATATCTAAGATATATTGTGTACAAAACAATTGTTTGAGAGCCAGATTTGTATAAGATCTTACATGCTTGTATTCACCATCTCTCTCCTTTATATTCCCTTCATAAAAGTTGATAAGAAGTCATTTCCTATGCTAGATAATCCTATAATATAATGTCATAAGAATAAAACTGATTGTGTTATGACTTAAGAAAGGTTGATATATACACTTTTTAATATGTTATGTGCTATAATTACCAACTGAAGATGAGAGTCCTTTATTATTTGACAAAATTTCAGTATAGGTCCTGGATAACATTTGTTAATAATTTGAAATGAAGAGTGCAATGTGTGTGAATAGAGTAAATAAAAGTCAGTTGTTAGCCAAAGTTCTATAAACTTCCTTTATAACAATGTTTAAATATTGACTAGAGTGCTTCAAAAACTTAAGGCATGCAAGAAATAGTCCTTTCTTTAAGATTGGTTCACATGAAGACAAAAAAGCTGTAAAGGTAAGTGAAGGAATATCAATAGTCATGGGGGCATGGTGACTCTGTGATTGATTTGTTTCATAAGAGTCTCGTATTTGTAAAGAGAAAGGTACAGACATGGAGAAGACAATGTATAATGGCATAATAAAAATGTTTGTGCTGTAATTTTAATGTTGCAGCTGATAACTTAGAGGGGTCATATGAAGGTCACTATAGGGAGACTAAACATCAGAACAAAACCTCAGAAATCTGAATAAATAATAAAATATAAATCTGTAACAGAATGAAGATTTGTTTTCATTTTTGATAGTCTGACTTTTACTCTATATGAATTTATTTCTTAAATAGTTTTAAAACACTCATGTAATTAGTGTTTTAAAGTCATGATGGTAGAGATTTGAAAAAAATGTGCTTTTCAAATTTGAGCTTTTGAATTGGTCAATCTTCTGTGTATGCAGAACATATCACTAAACAACATAGTTATAAGTACCTTTTCATAAGGAGCTCCAGGTTTCTCTAGCTATAAAAATTAACCAACTCTTAAAATTATAATGAAGAGTAAATATTGGGTATCAAGGATATTCTGAAGTAATTAATCAAGAACACTCTAAGAAAAACTTCAGTTTCTCAGAAAAGTAAATGTAAGCATCAAGATGCTTTTAGTTACTCATTAAAAAAACAGTGTTGGTAGTTATTAAAGAGTGAAGTCGCCCATGAGATAATGTTGCCAACCTAACCCCAGTCTTTTAGGTAGAGCTCAGTTCTATAGCCAATGAGAGGACCAACAGCCCATCCCTAATCAAACTGACTTCAGTTTGCAACTTGTAGAACAGCTAGAAACATAAAAGTTCTGGGAGAAGAAACTTTGCTATGGGAGAGTAGGAAATGGGTGCTTTACACACTTGATTTCTTAGTTTTACATGATATGGAAGGAGAGTGCCATATGATAACAGAAATTATATTTTGTAATATTTTTATATTTTCTTCTTATTATTATTTACATTTTACTCAGATAAAAATTTATAACTAACAACTAGATTTAACTTAAGTTAAACAACCATCTGCAGATTACATTAATAATTTCCATTCATCTGTAGACACATATTAAATTATAAACAATGAATGTTTGGATAAATATTACTTAGGACTAGATTGTTCTAAGAAGTTTTCTAACTAAAAATATATATGGAAATATTATGGCCAAAAATATTAAACTTTATGAAGGTTCAAATCGAGTTACATGACCTTACCAACACACTGAGGAAGCTGGGTCCACCTTCCACTAAGGCATGAAACTGACCCATGTCCAATCATCGTAAATGTTTCCTTGCAGCTGAATACCACTGAATCTCCATGATAGTAGGGAGAAACAGAAAATTGGACAAAGCCATGCTCAAGCTGAGGAATGTCTGAACATGTTCTCTCCTCCTCTGTAGATAGATTTTTCACAAATGTTGAGATTAAGATATCACATGAGAAACAAAACAGTGTCTAAGTAGTAGCATTTTTATTACCAACACATGTTGGCAAGGTTGTCCAGTTTCCATCCATGCACTGGATTTTATTGGGTCCCTTCAGTAGAAATCTAGGCTTGCAATCATATTCCACCACTTCACCATGGCTGTATTGTTCTTTCTTTGTTCCATTGAATTCCCCATTGAAGAGTTCAGGAGGTTGATCACATGTTCTCACTTGATCTACTGTAGAATATTGTGTACATATAAATGAAAATGTCAATCTTGCAGTCTAAAAATCTAGTTAAAGAAAAATCTAATAAGAATTTGTTCATCATATCACTTTTAATAACATTTTATTAAATCAATATTATATACATTAAACACACATTTCACACTTGTAACATGTCTATTGAAATAGCATTGAAAGCATATTGAAGGTGGTACAATGTTTGATAAACCTGATCCCTTGAAATTGCATGAAAACAGGTAGCAATTTTAGCTTTGTCAGTTATAGTGATTTTCACACTCAATATTTTTTAAACACAGTTATCTATTTGTTAAAAATATTGGCACTGTAGAAAGCATCTAATTAATGTATTTTAATTTTTTAATAAGTGCTGTTGAATTAATTAAACTCTGCTTTCATACAATTTAGACATTCTCTATGCAATGTGAGGAAATGCTTATGTTGGAAAATGATCAGAACAACAGACAAGATGAGAGATATCTTTGTACTCTAAGCCATCATGTCTACATGTTTACACACATTGATAACATATTTTAAGTTCAGGATTAACCTTATCAGTAAGTGATTATATATTAGCCATACAACATACAGCTTTGTCATGGTTGTCAATGGATATGCTTAAGTTTGTAGATGCAATGTAAGAATGGGAGATATGGGGAGATGGAAACTAAACCTCTGATTTTCATTCACCAAATGTAAAACAGATACTGACCTTTACATGTTGGGAAACTAGGGGACCATCCAAAGTGGTAACATTGAACTGAATCTGGTCCAACTCTCTGTCCTTGTTGGCAAGAAAAGCTCAACAAATCTCCAACTTTATATTTTTCTTTCTTGGGATTGACAAGCAAGTATTGGTCTAAAAAGGGAACTCTGCATTCTCTTTCTTGAAAAGTAAGAAGTTAGAGAACATATTTAATCAAGAAGTAGTTTTATCTCTCTCATGTACATTTGCAGGGAAACATCAGTAACCCTCTTCCTTTTGAAGAATGCTGCATATTACATTTTATATAGCCCCTAAATTTACATGGAAGTCTGAGAAATTTATGGTGATATAATATATTTGTTATAGAATTGAATAATAAAATTAACTTATTTTTACTGGAACTAAATTGCTGAAGAGAATTATTACTGTTAAGTTCACAAATACCCTATTCTTATCTTGCAAAATCATTCTTTCATATTTGAAATTAATACTATACAGCATATTTGTAACATTTTTTAAAAAAATTATTTCAGATTAATATACTTGAGAAAATAGATCAGGCAAAATAATTCTAATATATTTGAAGTTAGGACAATAAAACTAGTATTTTTTAAAATAAAAAAACAGAAGAAACTTGTACAAAACCATAATATTAGTTGAGCATTTAAATATTTACAACACACTAAGTTATTTTGCTGTAATTTCAATTCTCATAACTAACCCTTAATCATTCTGACTCAAATTAAGAATGTGTAACCTTCTCCATTATAGTTAATTGTTTTAAAATTGTTGACATTGTTAACTGTTATAAGAAATAAACATTTTTTCTTATTTGAAGTCCTTCTAATTTACAAAATTAAAGACTGCAATTTTTAAAGTAGGGTTATACATAAAAGATAATTTCTACTTTCAAGAGTCAAGTGTTAATATACAATTAGCCACAGAAATGAAAAGCAAGCTTTAAAAGCAATTATCTAAAACAAATAACCAAAACTTCACAATGGGACTGGTGATAGAACACACAAGAAGGACAAATATTAGAGCATCTAGTAATACTTCCAAAATAATTCCTTTGTTTTAATATTGAGTTTTTTTAGATTCAGCGGGAAAAATCACCCTTTACAAGACTCACAGTTATTAAAAGTCAGGGGCCACTCAGATATTCGCCATAACAATTAATTTTAATAAGAATAGGATTTTTATTTAGTTACTAGTTACCAGGGATTTGGCACCAGGCCTGTAAAATATCGATGGGAATTTACTGTATGACAGTTCATTCAAGATTAAAATATCCCATCCTGTAGGGAAGGTCCTTTAGCAGGAAGGTAAAGAACTCTAAATATGATGTGGGAGTGATTTCTTTTTAATCTCTTGCTTTCATTGGTTAATTAATAAAGAAACTGCCTAGGCCCATTTGATAGGCCAACCCTTAGGTAGGCAGAGAAAACAGAACAGAATGCTGGGAGAAAGAAGCTGAATCAGGGAGTCGCCATGATTCTCCCACTCCAGACAGACGCAGGTTAAGATCTTCCCTGGTAAGCCACCTCGTGGGCTACACAGATTTTTAGAAATGGGTTAGATCAATTTGTAAAAGCTAGCCAATACGAGGTTAAAACTAATGGGCCAAGCAGTGTTTAAAAGAATACAGTTTCCGTGTAATTATTTTGGGTAAAGCTAGCCGTGCGGGTGGCCGGGTGCCAGGGAACGTAGCCCGCCGCTCCTATTACTACATAAATAGCATGAAGAAGTCCCTGAAAGTGACAAGATTCAGTAGGCCCCTTACTCCCAAGTAAACAAGCAGTTGATGAGTCATTCTCAGAAGAGGCAAGCTGCAAAGAAGATACTCAGACAAGTATAGATTCTAAATAGAAGACTTTATGACAATATCAGCTGCCTAGAAGAAGCAAAAACAAGCCCAGCTCCCAAAAAGAAGCTTAAATCAACTGAGTCACTTGGAAAAACCTTTCTTCAACCTGTTGAACTGCCTGCAGGCTGTGCATTGCACTCTAATTTCCAAGCTTCTGTGAGAAGTTACCCATGCTGGGTGGGCCTTGGTGATGCAATTATCTTTGAGCTGTTTCTATTCTTTATTCTTTAAATTGTTTTCATTGAGCTATATATTTTCTTTGCTCTCCTCCCATACTTCACCCATACTTCAATAACTCTTCATCCATACTTTAATAACTCCAATAAAACTCATTGGTCATCAAGTTGGGCCTTGGTTGTATCTCTGTATGATCTGTCATGCACTCCTTATCTGGGACAGGTGAGTAGATGCCTATTTATCATCTCCATGGGAAAACTTTTGCCACATTTATAATTTCATAGTTCCTTTTTAATTTTAGTTTTGTAATGCTTAGATCAATGCTAGGCCTGTGAATTATTCAAGTGTTGTCCCAAAGAACTAATTTCCCTACCTTTGCATTCTATTTTAGAATTATATTGTAGAAAGCCCCGATTTCTTGATCTTGAACTGCTTACAATCAGAGAGAAATTAATGGTTACCATTTGTTTAGCTTAATTTCTTTTAATTGAGGGGATATTTTATTCTTTTTGTTAATGATAGATCTTCATACGTCTCCCAGACTTATCTCAAATTCAAGATGCTCATACTTCAACCTCCAAGCTCTGGAATTATGGGTGTGTACCATCTTGTCAGGTGTAGACATTCTTTTTAATTTACATTTGAGTTGACCCTTGATACTGCAAATCAAATTTCTAAATTTCTGCTGCTATCCATTCTGAAGGGATTCTGGCCATCCGGGCATGGCAAACATGGTTCTAGTAAGTCTTGCGCTTCTGCCCATTCCCTCTGCCTAGGCTTTAAAACCATTGGATTGCATTCCTAAACAACCCATCAAGTTCTATTCTCTTATTTGATCACACTTCCTCCTCTTGAGGTTGACTACCAAGGTCCAGCTATTAAAGTATTGAAGTCCAATGAACAAATGTCCTCTTTTGCTCACATAATTAACAAACCCAAGTCAAATTAAACAACTTATCCTGAAGAATTTATACTTTCCTACTTTTACAACTGAATTTAGATCCTAGTTCTTTGAGAGGGGCAAACAGGTGTCTCTTCCAAAAAAGGGCCATTTATCAACAAAATATATTTAGGCATAATGGAGAGATCATAGGCCTGAATCAGCCCATAATGTCGCAAGGATTGTTCCTGCAACCCTCTTGAAACTTACCCAAGTATGTCCAAAGATATAATCTCCATCATTTAAAAATGCACTAATGTAACTTCTGCTTTCTTAACCAATTATGTTTGAGATAACCTAACCAGCACTGAAACTCCTCTATCTGTGTTTAAAAGGAGCCAGCAAGCTTCATTCAGGATCATCGCCATTTTGTACAGGTTAAGGACCCCACATGCATGTTGAAATATCAATAAATGCTCTTTGTTCTTGCATACTATTTGAGTCTGGGTTCTTCCTTTAGTGTTCCTCAGGCCCTACAATCCTAATATGAGGTACCCCAGTATATTTATACAGCCCTTTTCCTATGTGCCTTGTCTGTCTCCTCTCTATCCAGAGTTGGTCCTTTGTCCTGAGTCAATTCCTTTTCCTTTCGCTTTGAATTTTTTTCTCTTCCAAATTGTTCATCTCTTTTCTTTCCACTCTTTAAATTTGCATGACAATGTTTCATACATCAAATTGTAATTTTGATAATGGAGACCTAGTTTAAATAACTAGGCTTTATGATAATGAAACAATTATACTTTAATCAGTTTAAATAACTATGGCTTTATGATAATGAAACAATTATACTTTAATCAGAGATACTTAATATATATATCATACAATGGCATAATTAATTTAATATATTTTGTTTGTTTGTTTATGGAAACAGGGACTCAGTACATAACCCAACATGTCCTCAAACTTAAAACCTCTTGTTCCAGGGTCATAAGAATCACAAGTGTATGCTATCTAACCCTGATGAATACATAAATTTAAATAAAGATTATCAGGACACTAATATCACTCAGTCAGTGAGAGAGCTTGCCTCCAAACATGGTGACAGGAGTTCACTTCCTAGGATTTATATGATGAAAAGAGAGAGCTGACTCACAAGTTCTCTGACATCTTCATGTGTAACGTGGTGTGCACACCTCCATAGATATTCACATGCACTCACTGTGCATGTACAGGATAAATAAATGAATTTAATGAAATAATAAAGTCAAATATGATTATATTTAGTCCTGAAAAATGTCCTTTCTCCCAGTTTACATTAAATCAAAAGAAAGATTCTAGAAAGTTTACTTTTTTAAGTAACACATAAATATTTATTTTTGTTTTGTAAAAACAATTCAGAGACAATAGTACTTACCATAACATGAGGGTCTATCAGACCATCCATCATAATTACATATTATGGAGCCTTTGGTATCTTTATGTCTGTTTTCGTATCCAACATGGCATTCATAGTCTAATTTGTCATTGAGTTTAAACCATGTGCTATTGTTTTTAATCACAGCATTCTCAAATACAGGCCTATCACAAGACTCTAATGCAAAAGAAAATGGAAGATTTTATTTATCAGTATCAACGGCCAAACTGAGAAAGTCCCATGAGAGCAAAAGTAGTCCCAGGTTAATGTAAATAATTAAATTAAATACTGTATAATTAAATACTGCAATTACATACTGTATAAAAACACCCTTGGAAGACCAACAAGAAATCATTTTCGTGAAATGGTTACTGAATGAAAAGTACATCGCTATTAGCATTTACCTCCTCAGTTAAGTTTCAAAAAACTTTATTTTAAAAATAGTTTCTCTGCTCATTTTCCCCTATATTTATCATATACTGTAAATAAATAGACAAGTGTAGATCTATTTAGTTTTAGGGAAATAGAATAGCATTTTATGAGATAAAGTCCTGTATTTTGTAGTTTATATATAACAAAAAATTTAGAAAAGTAGATTAGTTAAATTTGAAACAGGTACATTTACTGTATTATACCAAAGGTTTTTATTGTTTTACAGTAATAAAATCCAAAAATGCTTGCTAATTATGATTTAATATACATGAATATTACATGGGAACAATTTAATTGTTTTTTTCTTTTTTTTTTTTTTTTTTTGGTTTTTCGAGACAGGGTTTCTCTGTGGTTTTGGAGCCTGTCCTGGAACTAGCTCTTGTAGACCAGGCTGGTCTCGAACTCACAGAGATCCGCCTGCCTCTGCCTCCCGAGTGCTGGGATTAAAGGCGTGCGCCACCACCACCCGGCTGTTTTTTTCTTTAAATAAATCCTATAAAAGTAAAGTAAATGAAGAATAAAAATTAAGAAAGCAGTAAGCATCTTAAATCACATTATTATTTAAGTTACATTGAATAGTTCTTGAAAATAGGACTGGTTAGCTTTCTCACAAGTAAGACAAGATGAACTAATCATTCTTAGAAAACCTTCATTAACCGTAGTCCTAAAGTGCCAAAATTGGACCTACCTGGAAATATTTCTTTCTTTCCAATATCAAGATATTTGTGATGAATTTCTAGAGGGAGACTTTGTAAAATGGACCTTAACTGATAGTGTCAAATATACATTATAATGTTATCACATATTCTGAGATTTAAAACATGGATATATCTTCACCTAAAACTTTACCTTTATATCTAGGAGCAAAAGATTTGATATGTAAGGCAGATCTTTTAAAAGGCAGCTGGTCAAAAATCCTTTACTATATTTAAAACTATAGGGTATTTTCAACCATTGAAAAGGGAAATGGGCTGATAGTCTACAATGCAAGAATGAGTCCCAAAGTAAAAACAAAATAGTGGCGTGGGAGAATTATCTGTATTCTGTTAATCATGTTTTAAATAAATACTGATTGTCCAGGCAGAAAGTTTAGGTGGGTCTAACAGACAGGAACTAGAGGCAGGATGATGAGAACAGGAGAATTCTAGGAAGGAGAAAGCCCATTCTTCCCACTCTTGCCCAGACCACCAAAGACGCAGGATGTGACCTGCTCTACTGAAAAAGGTACTGAGCCATGTGGCTAACATAGATAAGAATAAGCTATAACAGCTAACAAGGACTGTGACCGAAAAAGCATGGGATAAAACTGGACTCTCTGAACATGGCGAACAATGAGGGCTGATGAGACACCAAGGACAATGGCAGGGGGTTTTGATCCTACTTAATGTGCTGGCTTTGTGGGAGCCTAGCCAGTTTGGATGTTCACCTTCCTAGATATGGACGGAGGGGGGAGGATCTAGGACTTAACACAGGGCAGGGAACCCGGACTGCTCTGTGGGACTGGAGAGGGAGGGGGAGAGGAGTGGGGGGAGCGGGAGAAGGGTGGGAGGAGCGGGAGAAGGGTGGGAGGAGGGGGAGAAGGGTGGGAGGAGGGGAAGGGAAATGGGAGCCTGGGAGGAGGTGGAAACTTGTTTTTTGTTTATGTTTTTTTGTTCTTCTTTTTGCAAAAAAAAAAAGAAAAAAAAAGAAACTTGAGCTAATGAATCAATCATTTTATAATCTTATGGAGACCTCTGTGTGATTTTCTTTGGGACTTGCTGGCTGTGGGAACTGAGCAGGACAGAAACCCCAACTAGCAGGCCCTCATGTTACAAAATGGTGCCCATGTGAACAACTGCATCGACATAAAGCCTGACAGAGCTTAGGAAGAAATTCTGGGAAGAAAAGAATAGAGTAAAGCATGGATTCTTGGTAGCAGCAATTTCTCGGGTCTGCTCTGCTTGCTAGAGGCAAGCAAGCACTCTCATTTAAATGAGGCTTCCTGACTCAGATTTAGCTTTAAAGCCTTGCAGCTCCTTTAAGAGGTCCTGCCAAAAAAACACTTAAATAGTGTTGATAAAAAGCTGACTGCATGCTTTTTGGTTTTCAGCCATAGCAGAAAAAGTACTGTGCTATTTTAAAATGCCAGCTTTCTGGGCAGTCCTGCCAGGGCAAACTCTGACTCTTTCAGGCAGGCCATCTGACTATGGAGCATTTGAGTGTGGTCTGTGAGTGCACTGTTGCAGCTTGCTTGCTGTCAGGGACCTTGAAACGCCGTAGAGTTGTGGCAATAAACATGGCTACAGCCAGTACCTCTGCCATGAGGCAGGAATCACAGAAATCTAAGGAATGGGCTGGATCCAGCTGTGGAAGCCATGGCTTTAATTCTACCCATATTGCTTGGTAATTTAAAGACTTGTATAGTCAGAAAAAGAGAGATATACAGTAAAGAGAGATTCAAATAATAAAAGCTCTAAATGGTTTACTGTGTCTTAAAAATATATCCTGGATTGGGAGAGAAAAAGAAAAAGGTTGAAGTCCTTAAAATTAAAAAGAAAAATAGAGAGTAGTTGGGTGTAGTAGTACACACCTTTAATTCCAGCACTTGGGAGGCAGAGGCAAGTGGATCTCTGTGGATTCAAGGATAGCTTGGTTTACTGAGAGAATTCCAGGACAAAGATACCCAGAGAACCTGTCTCAAAAAGCCAAAAGTCAAAAGTAAAAATAAAAGAAATAGAAGTTAAAATAAAGCCACATAAAGATGGAAAACACACAGAGAATCTTGATACTGTATATTATTATGCTCTCTTTGAATTGTTTGAATGCTAAGGAAGGAGCAACAGCTACTGAAAGATATTTGTTAATAAATGCTGCTAAACTAATCCAAAATAGGTATTTTGAAAATGCCTTGACTTCATTCATTCTGAGTTAAGAAAAATCAGGTTTGATCAAGGAAGACCACCTGAGAAATCTCCGGGAGGAACAGATGGCCCAGATGTCTGAGTTCTACATCCAGAACAGACTCAAGATACTGTCTGAGATGATCAAGCCTCACAGTACACTCCAGTCAGGACTTGACCATAACTCTAAATTTTCTTTAGGTCCCTATAAGATTATCAGTGCCCCCAACCAGCCAGAAGTAGCCAAGAATACTATGCCCACATTCCCAAAAAATTGACTATGAATATTTTCCTTTTTTTTTTTTTAAAAAAAGAGGGGAGAAGTGGTGTAAGAGAATTGCCTATATTCTGTCAATCGTGTGTTAAATAAGCACTGATTGGCCAGACAGGAAGTATAGGTAGGTCAACCAGACAGGAAGTAGAGGCGAGACTATGAGAACAGGAGAATTCTAGGAAAGCGGAAACCCATCCCTTTTACTCCTGACCACCAAAGAAGCAGGATGTAACCTTCCCCATTGAAAAAGGTACTGAGCCATGTGGCTAACATAGATAAGAGTAATGGGTCAATATAAGTTACAAGAGATAATAAGAAGACTGAGCTACTGGGACAATCAGTTTATAATCTTTTTTTTTTTTATTGAGAAAAAGGAAAAAATGTTTCCCCCTCCTCCCAGCCTCCCATTTCCCTCCCCCTCCTCCCACCCTTCTCCCCCTCCCCCCACTCCTCTCCCCCTCCCTCTCCAGTCCAAAGAGCAGTCAGGGTTCCCTGCCCTGTGGAAAGTCCTAGGTCCTCCCCCCTCCATCCATATCTAGGAAGGTGAACATCCAAACTGGCTAGGCTCCCACACAGCCAGAACATGAAGTAGGATCAAAACCCCGTGCCATTGTCCTTGGCTTCTCATCAGCCCTCATTATTCGCCATGTTCATAATAGTTTATAATCTTATAGAGACCTCCGTGTGATTTTCTTTGGGACTTGCTGGCTGTGGGAACTGAGCAGGACAAAAACCCTGACAAGCCATCCCTCATGTTACAATATAGTGAATTTTTTTTCTTGAAGTTTGAAACTCATCATGAAATAACACCAGTCACCTCAAAGAAGAATAAAGTTAAACCCAGATACATCACGTGTATAATGACAGCAATATAATGGAGTACTCACTGATGCATGAGGGTTGAGCTGACCATCCATTTTGGAGGCAGGTAATTGTTCCTGATGTCTCTCCATTCGATGTTACAAATCCCTGTTTACACCTATACTGTGTTTTTCTGTTTAGATCATATGTTCTAGCATATTCAGAAAGAAATCCATTCTCAATTTCTATATCTGACTTTGAACATGTCTCTAAAAGGGAAAAAGCAAGAAAAAGCTGAGTTTATGCTCAGTAACTTAAGGGTTTACATTATAAAATTATATTAAAATAGCCATTAGTCACTTGTAAATGAAGATCTGAAATAATCAAAATTATTTACATTACTGAAACAAGGAAAACATATCAAAGGTTCAAGATGCACAACTTGTTTGAATTTTTCTAATACAACAATATTTAAGTACTCATAATTCCATCTAAAGATGTGTTTCTTTTGTCTAAGTGTATCCACAATTCTACAGAAAGTCAGAGCTCTAAACATTTTTTTTTTACTTGTAGTTTCTTTAAAGCTGAGAATAATTGGCTCTCTTAGGCACCGAGGCTCATTTATCCGACTAGGGTTCCTTGGGTTGGGTGAAAATCTTGGAAAATCTATCTACATAGTTGCTACAGAGTCCAGTGCCAAGAATTTGAAATGCATTTGTAACCTCATGCCTAAAATACAATGGTGTGCAATATTCAAAGAAATCATGAGAAACAAACAGAAAAAATCATCTTCTCATGACAAAATGATGCCCCCAAATCGTGAATAACTGAATTGAAATGTAAATTTTTTTTAATTTCACTTTTCTTATCAGCTGAACAATATTTCACAGGTAAATGTACCAAAAAAATTCCATAAAAAATAATTTAAAAAAGAAAGTATAAAAGTATACTTCCAATTACTAGATTATTATCCAGAACATATATTTGGTTGTTTATGGATAAGTAGGGAATCAAAGAAGAAGACACTAAGTATTTTATATAGATGCCAATTAAAATATTAGATAAAATTTATGTATATATCAATAAATAGTGAAGAAACAAATTTCATCAAACAAGTGGAAAATAATAAAGAATAAAATTTAATAAGGAATAAAATTCAATAAGCTTTTTCACATTGTTAATTTGGAAAAGGCAGTAAATACTAAGACAAGCACAAATTGTAAAAATTTAAAAAGGTAAATAAAAATAATGCAAAAGTCAAATGAGAGAAAGATAATGAAGTTACAATTTTTGTAAAAAAATGTAATGAAATTGTAAATAAAAAAGAGAAAGAGTTCTAGACACAAAGAGGGCACAAATAAATATGGTTGAAAATTGCCAGTGCCTGCTAGTAGGAGACAAAAGCACCGAGCTAGAATTCCAGAGTTAGCCAAAGGTTAATGAAGTCTTTTACTACTATCAAAGAGCTTTAAGTGTTGAGGTTTTTTTTTTTTTTCAGAAAATAGCACAGTGAGAAAGATCCTGACAGGAAAAAAAAAATAAATGGGTGTTTTACTGAATTTAAGAAACAATAATCACTGTCCTCAAAGAAATTGGAGACACTGAACCTGTGGCATAGAAAAGCAGAAAAGAGAAAAAACACTAAGCAGAGCACAACAGATCTCCATCACCATCCTCTAGATTCTCTGGCCAGATGCCAACATACTACAACACAGTACAGGACTTTGTGATGCAAAAGAACAAGGGAAGAAACATGACCACAGATTCCAAGGTCAAAGTTTCCCCGAATGACAGGAATATGAGACATTCAAATTGGAAAAGTGGAACATTTCCTTTTGAATACCCAAATCCTTTAGTAATATTTCAGAAGAGGTTTATTGATATTCTGAAAACACTAGTTGGAAAGAAAAAGCTCCAAAACCAGTCTAAAGAAATTTAAAGGGAACATAATGATCAATCAAACTCAGCTTCCACTCCTGCAGATATCCAATCCCAAGCACTAGCAGCAAGTGTTTTTAACAAGATACTGTTGTCTCAGTGGATGTTCACCAACTCCGACTGGACTGGGAGTAAATGAGCATGGGAAGAAACAAGTCCGTCTGAAGGGGGTTGACAGTTGGGGCAGACTGAGGGGCCACTGATAGTGGGAGGATGGGTAGAAGTGGAAATTGGATTAGTATTTTTTAAAGTAATAAAAGAAAAAGTAAACTAAAAACAAAACAAAACAAAAGAAAAAACAAACAAGATACTGCTGATTTATTCCAAAGATTATGGTGGATATGAAAGAAAATATATTGTGGAAACATCTTATCTCCAACAAAAATTCCCAGAAAAGCATTTGGTCATGCTCACTCAATGCATCCAAGTATCAATGGATAAATCACATAAACAAATCCATGGGACTACAACAAAGAGTATGGAGGAAGCTGGATGCACTTGACATACACACTGAAAAAACAGTATCGCCATATCAATTACCTGAGACTCTCTTAAGACATTAGAAAAAGAAGAGATTAAATTAAAGTGGGTAGATGTGTTTGGGTGGGTTTTTCATGTCCTGAACTGAAATAATTAAGCACAAATAAAAAGAATAGTTTGTAATATGCAAACCTATTTGTACATAAACTTTACACACTGATACTGTAAAAAATCCTTAAGTTAATAACATTTAAAAAATTTAGCAGAGAACAGTAGAGATAGCACAAATTACTAATATCAGCAATGGTGGGAATTATATCATATTTATTTTTACCTATTTTAAAGACCAATTGGAATATTATGGACACCCTTGTTAATTAATTTGACAAGTTAAAAGTTAATGGAATTTAAAAGCCACAGACTATACAAATCACTCTAGAAAAATATTTAATGTGAATATAGTTGCTTCAATATGAAAAACATTTACTAGCTAAGTACATTAGAGAAGAAGGAACAGAAAGATTGTTAGAGCCAGAGAACCAGGATGTCTGCAATGAGATAGTGTCTATATATATAACAGGGAAACTTCACTAACAAAATCACAGAAAACAGGTTGTTCAGCATAATAGAATTAGACATGTCAATGCACATGGAGAAATTCTCATCATCTCAATCCATAGATCAAGAGCTATATATAATTAGTGTTTTCTGGTAGAAGAAAAATAAGTCTTTTCTTGGAATGATTCTACCCAATAAGTTATTCAATCTCAAGTGATCAGGCCTAAATAGATAGACATTCAAGCAGTCCTAAGTGTACTGAGTAGGATATGCATGTGTGCGTGTGTGTACATGTATGCATGTGTGTGTATGTATATATGTGTGTGAACAATTATAGTAAAAAAAAGAAGAGCTCATGAAATTGAGAGGGGAGGAAATGAGAGGAGTAGATGAGAGGAGAGAGAGGATAATGTTATATAAATATAGTATTTGTGTATAAGAAATAAATTTTTGAGACCTGAATCAGGACCTCTGTAGGTCCAGTTGTGAGTCTACCACCTCTGAGAGAGTAGGCTAAAGCCAGAGACCTTTCTGGGACCAGGAGCAAGTCATAGACCTCCATGGAAGCAGGCTTAGGCCAGGGACATCTACGGAAACTGTTATGAGCCAGCAACTTCCATTGGAGCAGGCCTGAGGCAGCAAACTCCACAGAAGTGGGTACAAGGGACCAACAGCCAAACTAGCAGGTTCAAGTCAGAGAACTCTACAAGAGCCAACCTTGGGAGCACCCAGTGACCTCCAGGAAAACAGAGTGACCAACGGGGTGGCTGGAACCATGGCCCTGACTGCACCATGAGGAGCAACCATTTGAGCCTAGGATCCACTGGCACTTGGAAGATTGATATCAGAGTCACAGAGAGTCACAACAACACCAATCAGAGGAAACGATGGGTAGACAAGGTAAGAATGCACACAACACCACAAAGAGCAACACAATACCAGTAAAAACTCATGGCCCTACAGCAGCAAGACTTGAACAACCAAATACAGATGAAACAAAAGAAAGTGACCTAAAAATAACTTTAGGAAAATTTTTGAGGCCCTTAAAGAGAAAATGAACAATTACCTCAAAGAAATGGAGGAAAACAGAAAGAAAAATTGGAAGACATCAACAAATCCCATAAAAAACAAGAAAAGCAATCAAACATATGAAGAAACTATTCAAGACTTGAAAACTGAAATAGAGACAATAAAGAAAACACAAGCCAAGGGAATTATAGAAACAGAAATTATGAAAAATGATTAGGAACCACAAATGAAAGCATAAACAGCAGAATACAAGAGATGGAAGAGAGAATCTCAAGTGCTGAAGATGCAATAGAGGAAGTAGACTCATCTGTCAAAGAAAACATTAAATCTAACAAAATAACATCATGAAAAACAAAAACAAATATAACAGGAGATAGCAATCATTGGTCATTAATATCCCTTAGTATAAATGGACTCAACTCACCTATAAAATGGCAGAGGCTAACACTTAGGATATGAAAACAGAATCTATCCTTCTACTGCATAAGAAACACATCTCAACCTCAAAGATAGATATCATTTCAGAGTAAAGGGATGGGAGAAATTTTCCAATAAAATGGAACTAAGAAACAAGCTGGTGTAGTTATCCTAATATCTAAGAAAGTAGACTTCAAAATAAAGTAAATCAGACTAAACAAAGAAAGGCATTTCATATTAGTCACAGAAAAAATTCATCAGGAGGAAATCTCAATACTGAAAATCTATGCCCTGAATACAAGGACACGCTCATATGTAAAAGAAACACTACTAAAACATAAATCACACATTAAACCATGCACACTAATAGTGGGAGGCTTCAACACTCTACTCTCACTACTTGACAGGTCTGTAGACAGAAAATTACCAGAGAAATAAGGGAACTAACAGATGCTATGACTCAAATGTACTTAACAGACATCTTTAGAACTTTCCATCCAAACATAAAAGAATATACTTTCTTCTTAGCACCTATGGAACCTTCTCAAAAATTTACCACATACTAGGTAACAAAGCAAACCTCAACAGATACAAAAATATTATAATAACTCAATGTATTTTATCAGATCACCATGGCTGAAAATTAAAATTCAACAGCAACACTAACTCCAGAAAGTTCATAAACACATGGAAATTAAACAATACTCACCTGAATCATCAATGGCTCAAGGAAGACATAAAAGAAAAAAATTAAAACTTCCTAAAATCCAATGAAAATGACCACACCACATAGCCAAATTTATGGGGTACAATGAAAGCAGTGTTAAGAGGAAAGTTCATTGCACTA